ATGTCCCAACTAAATTCAAGGAATGAGCAGCACAGGGGACAAAATTGGCTAATGGATTTATTTCTTTAATTCTGGCTTGTAAGCCACTATATGCACCAGCCATATTACTTGCATTATCATAAGATTGTGCACGTAAAAATGCTGGATCCAGATCATAAAGAGATAATGTAGTCATAACTTCATCAGTAAGTTCTTCAGATTTATGTCCACTATTAGGCAAAAATCACATAAACCGTTCAATAGGTGTTCCGTTATTTTTAACATACCGCACCACGAATGATAGCTGATCAACATGCGATACGTCTGGCGTTGAATCCACTATTATTGAGAAGTATTTTGCTTTTTGAATTTCTTCAACTATAACTGCAAGAACCTGATCAGCCATTACAGTTATGAACTGTTCAAAAATATTAAATGATAAATAGGATGTAAAGCCTTTTCCTTTGTTGCCAAATTTTTCTATATGTGAAGCTAGAAAAGGGTCAAATAAGGCAATTAGCTCCAAGGACATTAAAAAATTACCATTTTGATTACAACCAAATTTATCAGTTTTGCCTCTAAATGCTAATCCTCTAGATGACAGTGTCTTGACTACAGCAACAACTCTCCTTAATACATTTTTCCAGTAGTTTTTTTCCTTTTCTATTTGTGATATTAAAGCACTATCAATTCTTTGAACTACTTTTCCTCTATCTTTCATAGTTAAGACATTAGTTTTGTGAGTTTGAGAATTTTCATGTGAAGTAATTCTTTTCTCTGCATGCTTCCAATCACTAAATCCTACAGTTGAAAACATAGATGTCGAACCAAATAATTTACATGGAGCACAGAATAATGACCCAGTACTTTCAGAGTACACTAAGTAATTTCTCTTAACTTTTTCACCATTAAGAAGGACCATATAAAATAATTTTGATGAGCAATATCGTGAATGTACTTTAAGAACTCCACGGATAACATTTTTACTTGTTCTTTTTGACTTGGTGAAGTTAATAGTTTCAATATTTTGAGATATTCCATTGACTGATATGTAATTTCTTGTTGTATCATCAACACACCAGTATGCCGGATCATTACTTAAAAAAACATATTATTTAAATTAATTATAAGTTATAACGATAAAAGTATTCAGTTTAAAAAATATATAAAGAGAGAATAACTAGTAACTACCTGGGTGATATCAAATTTCTGGTAATATTGTCAACATGATTGTCTTTCAAATCAACAGAATCAACAGAGCAACACTTTTCATTAAAATTAACAGTATCAATTTCACTAGTTTCAATAATGTTATTTCTTTCATTCAAATCAACAAAATCATCAACAGATCAATGTTTTTCATTAACATCAACATTATCAATATCATTAGTTTCAATAATGTTATTTCTTTCATTCAAATCAACAGAGTAATGTTTTTCATTTAAATCCACATTAGGCACATTATCAATATTATTAGTTACAATAATTGTATTTCTTTTATAATCTGAAAAAAATAATATTCATATTGTTAAATTATATAGGTATAGTAAATAGTTACATACCTAGTTATATTTATATTTAGTAGTATTTTAATTTACAGAATATTTAGACCATAGGTTAACTTAAGTATAATTATAATTTATTATGTGAATAAATAATAACTTGTAATGATGATTGTATTTATATGTATTTAAAAAAGTACTTTTCAATTAAATTTTACTTTTTATTAGTTGGTTGGCCAATATAAATGTTATATTTATTAATTTAAAATTGCAATGTTACATTCAACAAGGGAGGTATTTTTGTACCAGTTATGGCTTATGAATGAAACAAATAATATAAATAAAATAGAAAATCTTTTAAAATAAATTTGTGACAACAGACAAATCATTTGTATGATTTTTTTAAAGAATTTGCATAAGAATACTTATTTGATTTTCAAATACAAATTCATAATATGTCCAAGACTGTATTTAAAATATATAATTCAAAAAAGCACTTAAAATGTATACTAAATACTATAAAAGTATTTAAATACATTTTTTCAAATACTTTACATGACTAATATATAAATATATAATATAGGTATTTTGCAATATTTAGCAATATTTTAACTAAAATATTCAGTGTACCAATAAAATATAGATAATAAGTAGGGCCTGGGTTTCAATGCAAAGTTCATATTTTTTTTGTTGAACATACACAATGCTTTCTAAGTACATAATTTGTTTCATGTAACGAGGGTTTGAAAGCTACAAATTTTATTTTGCATTTTTTTTGCATATTTCGACGTTTTTTCATTTTTAGCATTATTGGGTTATTTTGTTGGTTTTTAATGCATATTTGTTCAATATAGATATAAAATTCAGCCTATTCAAAATATTATCTAAAGATAAATTATTTTCTTCATGTTAATATTTTACATAAATTTTAATATATATTTTGGTATGTTTAGGATGAATAATATTTCCTCAAAACATCCAAAACATAGGTATGCGTGTCAACATCGTACCTAGTCAATATTTTAATTTTCTTTTAAATAAATAATAATTATATCTCATTTATAAATTACAATTTGTTTAAAAAAAAGACTATGTCATTTTTAAGGTAATTTTTGAGGTAAAATGCATTTTTGGCTATTTTTTAGAGCATATTTGTATGGTTTTAAGTGCATTTAAATTCGGGCCCTAATAATAAGTATAATTTATTATTAATGTTCATTTAGCTGTTTGAATAGACTAAAATCATTTTTTTTTTTTTTTTTAAGTGGATCTTTTTAAAATGAATACATTAATGTGTTACATAATTGCATAGTTGCATGCAAGAATATTAGAAGAACAAAATTAAAAATGAATTAAAAATATTTGGCAGCCTGTTTGCTATTAAAATTTTTTATAGATATTACTATATTAGTTACTAGTTTTTACAAAGTACTAAATACTAAGTACCTAGGTAGTAAATATATAATAAGTACTAAGTACTAAGTACTAACCTGTGATAGCGTTGGATTGCGCACTTTGCGAAAAAAATGTATTTATTTTGGCTGTTTTTTTTATGACAGAAGCATACTTTTCAGCCTTTACTGCGGCCTTCCTCTTATATCCTGATCCGCTAAGTCTTGATCGGATAGGACCCATGACTTTAACGAAATTTTTTTAGTGGGTAATAAATTGCCTACAATAGGTATACCGTATACGATCTATATGAGACCAAACTACCAAAGGCACTCCGAGATTCGACTATTCGAGGCAATCCGGTTTACACTGTTTATTGTTTACAGCTCTCAGTTGTGTCGGTACTCGATAACAGACAACAATAATATTAATAGCTTGATATTAATAAGTTCGCTGTTAGTAAAATAGTAACTATCGTTGTGTGCGTGAGATACTGATATGCCTACATGGTCTAGAGCTCTAGACGTCTATTTTAATCGGTATAATCCTATAATGTCATATTGGGTTATTATTATTAACATCTATTTTTAATATTTATCGCCGTAACAATATTATTATGAATCAATTGGTCACTGGTGGGCGGTGACCCCGCGCCATGGTGAAACTGTAAATAGGCAAGTTGTACTGATATTATAAAAATAATATGATGTGAGCAGGGAGGGGGATGTGTAAATATTTACTGAAAAAATATTAATTAATTGAAATCAGCGTGTAAACTATGAAGTACGAAATAAAAATTTGCCGCCCCTCTAAATCTTTAAAAATTTGCCGCTCTGGGCAACGGGACCCATAGCCCCTACCTAAATACGCCCCTGGGTATCACAAATACAAGAAAAGTTGTTATTGCTTAAAAATGCATTATTTAAAACTCGAATAACTTTTAAATATTCTGCTCTAAATAATATGAAAATTTGGTTGCTTGGCCTTAGACTGGCGCCTGGTTGGTTCTATCCCGCGCAATACAGTTCTTGCCATGTTTTACATTTGTAACAACAAATGCGAGTAGCGTGGAATGAAAAACTGTATAAAATAAAAACGATCTAACATCATCAGTCATCAGAATATTTGTAACAGGGATTTATGCTGTGATCGTGATGTCCAGTGAGGTGCCGCCGTCGACACTCGCCGCCGCCGACGACGCGGAAACTGACAAACGAAGGTACATCGAGAAGCAACTAGTCCGTGCATACGGCCCTGGTCCTACGGAACCTAATCTCACTGCTGATGTTAATATATTATATAAATTATAAATTACAATTATATTATAATTTATTATATTATATCACTGCGGCGCGCTCTATCGGTAAATGTTCATGGCCTAACCACTTTATAATATCATGTGTAGCCGTCGTGTTAATGTAGACACTTTCTTTGTGTGGCAATTGTGTTATGCTACTCATACTAAAGTCATAAGCATCGGCGTAACTAAAGTGACGGGGCTTAGCCACCTATAATATGTATTATACTTATTTTATTATTTACATTTTGTTTTTAATGATGAGTTTATACTTTCATTTTATTGTTATTTTTAATTTTGATTTTAGAGGACAGTTACGCTTACTGTGGTGAGAGTGTGAGTATAACATTAGTTTTCTAGGACTCAAGCCCCTGTAACTATTAAATCCTAGTTACGCCTATTGACTTCCTCCTAACTGGTATACTTAAGTGCTCGCAACAGCTACATACCCTAATTATATCGGTAAATTGAAGTAGGTATCAATAAAATATAATATCATAATAAATAATAGCGATGTACACTGTGACTATAGTTTAAATTATGAATTTGAATAATTTGAACCAGCAACCATTTACAGTAGATATTATAATGACAGTTAAAAAATGTTTGAAAATCAATGAATTGAGCTTGCTTGTGAACCCAAATTTCTAGACCCAGCGGTTTGGTCTGGCTGTTGATGAGTGAATATGTACATAGAAGATTGATGATATTATTATTTTTAAGTAAGTTAAGACCTTTTTGAAACCATTTTAAAACCATAATAACTTACTTACAAATAATAATATCAACAAAAGCCTACTTGTATCCCAGATAATAATCTTGCCTTTAACTTTTATAGTAGGTCATTTCACTCTAATATCAATACTAACAGCACCCTATTGAAACTGGTGAACGAAAATTTGTTGTCATACGTGTGTAAAACGGAAACAGCACATGAGGATGTCACGTCCTTTTAAACTATTCATTTATAAGCACTATCATTATTAATCGATTGATAGCATAAGTACTACTATAGTATTCAGTGATGTTATTATTATATTGTATTGCATTTACATTAGTATATAGCTAATGTGACAATTCAAAATATTAATATTGCATTGTCAAAGCAGTTGACATAAATCTAGATTTATAATAAAACGTAAATTATTATATAGGTATTTAAAAAATAAAAAGCTATATTAATCTCAATTTTTTTTGCCTAAAGGTATTATATTTTAACAATTTATTGTATTACCTAACTTAATTTATTATAACACCTACCATAAAATTTCTGAAAACTAATTTGAATCAATCATTAAGTGTTTTTGAATTCAAAATTATTACATTTTAAAATTCTAAATATTTAAAAATTGTTTATTATGGATTTGAGAGTTAAATTTATATATATATAGGTATGTAATAGAAATGTGATTTTCAAGTAAACTTCATGACGAATTCAAATATGTTTTCAAAAGTTGTATCTGATCACATAGATTAGTCGATGGAGTTGGCATAATATGGATTTATTTTGCTACATAACACAGCCGTGATCTAATGTTCCTAAACATAATCTATAAATGGGTATTTTGGTAATATTTTTTTAGTATTTCACATAACATTATGTTAATTTTTTATTATTATTTAAGACTAATATTCATTACCAAAAAGATTTTTCATTTATTAGATTAAGTAAAAAAACATTCAAATAAATTGTACCAGATGGTCAAGCATTAATGATGTATTGATTATTTTAATTTGTACCTATAAAATATTTTCAACAGAAAGGACATTTATTTTATCTTAACAAAATAAGCTCAAAAAGTAGCAGTTCCCATGACTGACGATCAATAATAATTGACAGCTGAAAAATCTAGGCCATTTGATTTCTCGAGCTCGCCCGGGAATTTGGGGTTTGCACAGCTGTACAACGCAGTAGAAACGCCGCAGCCACTCGTCGACCGTGTTGCTGCTAAACCTAATGACTCCGGGCAACAGTTTATTGATTCGTGTCCCAACTTTGAAGCTTAACAGATTGTAGTCGTCGACTAGCAACGACAAAGAGCGTCTACAAAATTTGTAACGTCACATGCTCAGGTAAGTGATTAACTACATAATTTTGTATTCATTTTATTATGTACATTGCAAATACTATAAATGCATTCCGTTAAAAGAAGCTGAGTTTTTATATATTATTTTAAAAATTGTTAAATTGTATAGTAATAATTCCGTGGTCGGAGTAAACAGGTCCGATAGTCAGACAAGTATAATATCATTGTCTGTTAAAACAATGTCTATTGTATATCCTGTGAAAATGTTATTTTAAATCGTATATTCTGAATAATTTTATCAATTCCACGTTTATAAAACGCAATATATAGTTTTTGGTTTGTATAATATAAGATATATAGGAACCTGCTTATAACACCGCGCTCCATAGTTGTCCATCCATTAGCATCTGTAACTACAAATTGATTATTTTGATCAGTTGATGAATACTAATTTGCGGTAGTATTGTATGTTTATTCAATATCATTATTTTTACAAACATTATTTACTAATGTTATTTGATTATATGATACTAATGTAATATTGTTATTATAGAATATAGTCGATAACCTTTGGTTTATATTTTTATAATAATTGAGTCCCATAATCCCATAGGGACCCAAATTTTCGATCCGAAAAAATCCTTTCTTGAATTTAAAAATTGACAACCTAACCTTCCCATTTTAAAGAATTAAGATTATCAGTATACAATATAACAACAAATTATAGGATTAAACTCCAAAAAAACAACTTAATTTTTTGACATATAGTAATACTATGATTCTTAACGGGAGTAATTTGCATATTTAACCTAGATAGGTTGCTCTTACTGTTGCTCATCGTCGTGTCCGTAACACACGGCAGGTGGATTGCCTACCTGATATGCCGCTTTCATATTATCCTTGGAATGCCTTCTGAAATTACTAAATGGCACTTAAATCGATTTTAATTAAAGTGACTAGCTGTATTGCTAGACACTTAAACTCGGTTTTTGATTTTACACTTTTACATAGAATAAAATAACGGATATACGACAGTACAAAAAGTATTCAATCCCCGGACAAATATTGCATATACATCTAAAAAAAACATAATTTCCCGGGCCATTCCGGACGTTCCACCTTAAATCCACCTGATCAAACATATTATAACCAGCCTATATTTTAAGTTTGTCACCTAGATTTTCTGGATTACTTCAATCCAAGCCTGCCTATGTAATTCAGTGTACGTTTGATGACTAAGTGCAATATATACTTTTACCTAACTACCTTTCCACGCTTAATAGTACCATTCTGTTTTCAGCTCTGACAAATCTTTACCATCATGTCAGATCAGGTTATCAAGCGTACCGAAGTCATCAGAAAGTCGATGTCCGATTTGCGAGAATACCGCGGCATTAAGTTGAAAAATGGTCTCAAAGTTCTGTTGATTAGTGATCCCGACACTGACATCTCAGCCACGTCTTTAAGTGTCGCAGTTGGCAAGTTACTTTAAATAATATTACATTAATAATATTTATATTATATTAGAATGTATTACACGTAGTCATAATTTAATATGGTATGTGTATTAAACATGATTCTGATGTTTTTTCATTTATAACAGTATTTTAATTTTATTTACTTATGAAACTTGTATAACAATACCAAATTATTATTTTTCATATATTAATATAGGTAGTCTGAATGATCCGAAAGAACTTCAAGGCTTAGCACATTTGTGTGAGCACATGCTCTTTAGGGGCACAAAAAAATATCCCATAGATAATGAATTTTTGCAGTTCATAACAAAAAATGGTGGTCGTTCTTGTGGTTATACGTCCCGCGGTTATACAAACTATTATTGTAACTCTACAACAGATACTCTCTGGGAACTATTGGACAGGTTGATAAATAGTTTTTCATAACTATTAATTTATAATACATAACAGTACATTTGTGTTTAGATTTTCCAGATTTTTCTCCGAGCCATTATTCAGTGAGAGTTCGGTTGAAAAAGAAATCTATGCTGTTGACTCTGAATTTGAAAATTATAAAGCTGATGACGATTGGCGTTTGAAACAACTAAAACAAAATTTGGCTGTCCCAAATCATCCTTTTAACCATTTTGCAATAGGTAATTCAATAATATAATTACCTAGTTCAAGTATAAATGTTTATTAGTAGTAAATCCTAAGTTTTTGTTAACCCATCAGATACGATTATTTATTCGTTTCACCGATGTGTAGGTTTGTCAAAAATAAGTAGGTAGGTAAAATAAATTAATAATTCGAGATAATTGATTATTATTTCAAATTAATTAGATATAGGTACAGACGCACAGTCAAATAAAATATTATTGGTATTTTGGTATAATACATACCAACCAATTTATTATTATAAACAAGAAATACATGTGTGTTCTTAGGTAACAAGCAAATATTGTGGGATATTCCAAAGGAAAAGAAAATAAATATTTGTCATGAACTAAAGAAGTTTCATTCAAAATGGTATTCTTCGCATTTAATGAATCTAGCTGTACTTGGAAAAGGTACGTACTTACTAATTTCATCAATTAAATGTTTTTTTTTATCGTCATGCGATTTAAATTTGAAATTTTTTTTTTATTACTTTTATAGAGGATTTAAACACTTTGGAAGAAATGGTTGTATCAATATTTAAAGATATTAAAAAGAAAAATATTTCTCTGCCGTCATGGACTAACCCAATTTATAAAGAAGAACAGCTTGCAACTAAGACTATTGTAGTTCCAGTAAAAGATATTAGAGCACTAATAATTAACTTTCTTCTTAAAGATCAGCAACCAAACTATAAGAGCATGGTAAACATATTTTTTCAACCATAAAAACACTGTTGAGCTTAACATAATATTATTTTGTTTTAATGATAACATTAGCCGACTGATTATTTGACCGCGCTATTCAGTGACAAAGGTCCATATGGTATTTCGTCTGTCCTAAAAAAAAAACGATGGTCTACCGGAGTGATGGCCTATAACATAAACGAAACTAGAGGCATAGAGTATTATGAGATTTACGCTGAATTAACAGAATTTGGATTGGGTCATGTTGATGACATAGTCAAGTTAATATTTCAGGTAATATGGTATTCAATAAAATTATTCAAGCTTAAATTAGTATTTATATATATATATTTTACATAATTTATGCTGTGTAGTATGTGAATATGTTAAAACGAATTGGCCCTGTTGAATGGTTCTATAGAGAAACTAAAGATACTCAAACCATGGATTTTTGTTTTAAAGATAAAGAACTGCCATTTGACTATGTACGTACGCTTACACCTCAGATGATAGTAAGTCATGGTTTTAATTTAATATAATATCATCCAAATATTAATTAGTCCTTCATTAAATTCATCATGTTTAGAGATATAAAATGAGAGATGTTTTGATAGCTGAAAATTTAATAGAAGATTGGAAACCAGAATTAATAAGAGAACTTTTGACTTATTTTACACCAGGCAATATGAGGTATGAAAGATAATTATAGTTGATAGGTAGGTACCTGGCACCTGTATATAGTAGAATGGTACCTACCTACCAAATTATAATTACCTGATTCATGAATAAAATTTGTTAGCTATTACAATAACAAAGAAAAAAACATAAATATAACAGTTTTATTTAAAACCTATATGGAGAATATGATATTGGCACTACATATAGGTTATATAGGCGTGGAAGAAACGATTTAAATCACAACTATCTAGACATGTGTGAGCTCAAAATTCGCACACGTTTCACAATAAAATAACAACATTTAATTGCTAATCATTCATATATTTTTATAAATTTAATACTATTTCAGAATAACAGTTATTTCCAAAACATATCAAAACCAGACTAATGCAGTAGACAAATATTTCGGGACTCAGTATTCTGTATTTAAAATACCAGAGGAAACTCTCAAGGTAAATTTATTAATTGTAACAAATTATTTTAGTAACTCACGTACGATATTAATATTTAATATTTTTTTTTTTAGAACTGGCGTAATGCTGGTTATTGCGAGTATCTTAAACTGCCATTGAGTAACCCATACATGGCTCAAAATTATTCCCTAGTTCCAATTAAACATAACGTAATGCTATGTCATTTATAATATTAAACAATTTATTATTAACTAGCATATTTTTTTTTTTGGATTAAAACTTTCTCTTCTATATTACAGGAACCCGAAATCCCTCAACTAGTTCATAATACTTCGATTATGAGGATTTGGTTAAAAACAGATACAGTTTTTAGACTTCCCAAAGCATATATTTCAATAGAATTTTACAGGTAAAAAACACTTAAATGTTTGGTATAGGCACTTCTTATTAAAAAATTTTTCATATGTACAATCATCTTATCGAACTATTCGTTTTAAATTTAAGACACCTTCACAGGTTACACCTTTCAATAACTTTCATCACAACAATTCTAAGATCTGCTTAACACACGTTTTAAAAAATTTCTTTAGCTTAAATATTTTTGAAAAATTATAACTCTATTTTCGTAACCCATTTAATAATATTTAAGATCAACTGCACAATTAATGCATTAGTAGACATTTTGAAATGTTGCCAACAATTTGTCTTAAACTTTTTTATAGAACTTTCAGATTCTGGGCTGAGCGATAAATGCATTGATTTTACAATGTGTGTTTGTCATTATTTATTTATTTGTTTCTCTATGTACTATATACACATAAAGCATTTTTAAAAAATGCTTCAATTTTTTACTTTGGGGGTGGGTTGTAGGAGATAAGTTGACGCAGTTAGTACTTTTGACCTACATTAAATATTCTCGGCACTTTCCTTATTTTTATGTCTATTATTGTATATTTTTCTTTGAATAATTTTAACTTATCAATTAATTATTATATTTGTCATGTAGTCCTATCGTTGCGGTTGATCCATTCAATTGTAATATTATGGATATTTTTGTGAGACTATTTAATGAACATTTCAGTCTACACTCGTGCGTGGCACATAGAGCTGCACTTGATACAACAATGAAATCCAGAACTTTCGGATTTAACGTAATGTTATAATGCAGTACAAATAAATTAATTTTATAATTTTCATACAATACATTTTCAGATTAAATTTGGCGGTTTCACTCACAAGATGCATCATTTAATGAAAAAAATAATTAAAAAATTGTTTACGTTCAAGATTGATCCAAAACGTCTTGAAATTATTAAAGAAGAAGTAAATCAATAAATTTGAATAACATGCATTTTAAATATCTTGGTTAAAAATTATTGATTTATAGAAAATACGAGATTTGAACAATATAGATATGGAGGTTCCGTATGAAAGTGCAATGCAGTACAGTTCTCTGATTCTGTCAGAAGTAGCATGGAGTCCTTTTGAATTACTAAGATTTTTTCACAGTAAATACATACCAACACTATTTTTTAAATTAGAGTTGTTGAATAATTTATGAACTTAATTACCGTAGATATAAACGTCGAGGTCGTCCGACACTTTATCGATAACTTTTTAACGCACATGTTTATTGAAGCAATGTTGTACGGTAACTTAGACGATCGAGTAAGCACATATTCTTAAAATTAATAATTTTATGATTACGAATAGGGTAACTAAAACTTATATCATACTATAAAAATTGTTTTATTTGTTACCATACAACTTTATAAAGATTTATTTATTTTAGATGGCATCAATCCTTATCCATGAATTGAAGGAAGTATGTTTGTTACGTGGAGGATTTCGCCCTTTAGTGCCAAGAGAAATGATCAGATCAAGAGAAGTCGAAATGAACGATGGTTAATAACAGTTTGTTTATCAATTCCTAATTTAGCAATAAACAAATATGTATTTTTTTATCCTCTAATTAGGTTGCTAGAAGTGCTATTGATTAATATTAATGTTTATATATTTTTACCAATTTCGTTTTTATCACATTTCATAACAATGGTCTATTTTCATCTTTAGCATCTAAATGACTCTTCATTATTTTTATTGTGTGTTCATAATTATAACTATAGATACTATTACAGCTGCAAACTTAATTTTGGTCATTCATTTAATAGGTTTTATCTGTTAACTGTATGGGTGTTTAAACATTTATATTATTATACTCTCTTTGACTTTAATTTGGCTTTAAGTATTTTAGTAAACACGTGTTGTTACGAAAAAATTAGATAAAAGCAATATAAAACGACGACTCCTGAGAGCTAATAGGTACTTCGATAAATAATTGATATCATAACGAAAATGGTCGACGTTAACTAATTTTTACATTCGAATCTTAAATCCTACCCTGTGAACGTATCTATGTGACTGGCGACCGTTATATATTTTTAAATTTTTAAATTTGTTTGAAAACTTTTAAAATAAAATATTTAGGTAATGAAAGAAGTTCAAAAAATGTATCGCTTATGAAAAATTCTGATTATTCGTATATGAATTCAACGTATCAGTATTTTTCCTGAACTTTCAGGATATTTTTTTCTAATAAAATATGTGGTTTTTACGAAATCTTTTCAGAATTTTTGATACCTACTTATACCTAACTATAAAACTACGAACACATTTCACAGTTTTTACTGTAGGTATATAAAACTGAGACTTTGAATTAGATCTTTTTAACAATGATACATCATTCCGTCTATTTTTATTTCTTACAATAATATTTCAGGTGAGAACATGTTGTACGAACATGTTAACCCTGTTCACAGCAGCTCGTGTGCTTACGTTAACCTGCAATGCGGTATTGAGAATACGAAGAATTACTTATTAGTCAGAATGTTTAAACAAATCATCGGAGAGCCGTGCAATAACACTTTGCGTGTACAGGTAAAGAAGATATTTTGTTTGATAGCAATAGTAACATTACATATTATGCCGTATGCAATAAAATAAATATAAGTATATACCTATTTTAATCAATGGGTACCTACAGTCTAAATATATAAAAAATCATCGGACACTCGATTTTAAAGGCATTTTATGTAAGCATATGATACCTATAGTTATTACATTAATGAATAATTAAAATTAAAATATATGTTATATAATACATTTAATATATAATTTAACAAAGGTATAAAAAAAATATTCCAAGTAACTTACACGTAATCACCCCAGTGCCACTGTTATTCATTGTGTACCTAATTTAACAGTTTTAAATAACAAATTATATTGATACAATTATTATTAAGACCCAAGCAAAAGTTGACTTATAAATTATTTAATTTTTTCGATATAATTTATACAAAAAAAGTTATTCAAGTTTGAAAAACATGAGAATTATTATAAATTTTAAAACAATAATAATTTTAATCAGTAATATTGGCCAAATCCAAACAATGATACGTAATTGAAGTTATTCTATTTTTATGACGACTATTTGGTTCTCAGCTAAGATTATAATGGTTCCTACCCGTGAAAATCATTTTTTATCAAACAATCATTTATGGACGTGCCATGTCTGTTTGATATTACTTTTTCATTAACCATTTATAGGAAAAACTTGGATACGTGGTCAAGAGCCGTGTTCAAAAATCATATGGTGTACTGTATGTTTGCATCTTTGTACAGTCAGACCGCGACCCTGCATTCATTGACTCCAGGATTGAACATTTTTTGAGCACTGTTGAGGTAAGCCGACCAGATTGGTTATAACTACACATACATTTATTTTTTTGTTTGTATATACTATTCAAAATTCGCCCGTGATCTGTACAGGGGTTATTGAAGGACCTTTCCGAAACAGAATTTATTAAGCATAGAGAGTCCTTATCCATAAGACTATCAGAGAAGCCAAAGGGCCAGATCGAGCAGGCTAAGATATACAGGTCGGAAATTATCAATCAATGCTATAATTTCAATCGAGTGAAAATCGAAGTAGAAGAGTTAAAATTGATTACTAAAAACGATATTATCGACTTTTATAATGTGAGGCATACTGCACAATAATTTAATTCATAATGCCTATTTTACCTGCAGCTTTATGTGACAAAGTATGTCAATTTGATCATAGGAAAAAATCAGTCGTACTGGGTCGAAAAGGCGCAAATTGGCTGTACACATCAAAACTCCAATGAATGACACGATTGATAAACTTAAGTCCAGCAGCAAATGTCCAGCGAACAACGATTCGTTCGCGACCATGAACGTACGCGATGTTGTATTGTATAATATTATATTTTTATTTTTTAGTCATAAAACTATTTTGATGTGTGATGAGAAACTAATGTTCATAAACCTCTTCCAGGTCCAAAAAATCAATGATATAAACGAATTCAAGAGAAGTCATCGGTTGTATCCGGTGCCGAGGTCTTTCACACCCATTGGATCCGATGGAATAGAGTAAAAATAATTCCATTTATAATAATTTTATGACGATTTCACTATTTTTAATTTATAATCATTTTCATATTTACCGAATTAATTATTTTGTATGTAATTTGATTTTCAAATTGTTGGACATAAAATTGAAAAAAAAATTAGAACAATTCTCCAATATAAGAAAATACTAAATAGGTAATAAAATCTAGTAAATAATAATTTAATAAAATATTATTGGTAATTATCTATAGCAATCTCAAAACTAATAAATATAAACTTTTATAAAATTTAAAGAGGGAGTTAGTGAGTAACACTTTTCTGCACATTATATGTTTAGAGAGTCATTGTATTTTATGTGTTCTTTGAATTTAATGATAAAAAATCATTGTTTAAAAAAAACTATTTTGAGCGAAGACGGTCTGTCAGCCTATACATTTCAATAATACTAAGTATATCAGTATATCTGATGGAATTATTGTGATTAAAGTAATTATTTTATTATAAGTCATTATAGTGCTTCATTACTTCAGTAGCCGGTAAGTTAAATTTATTTTTGCCCAAACCATTGCATTTGAAAATATCACTAAGTATATAAAATATAATAATATACTCTAAATGTTTCAAGTATTTACGAATAATATTTTTTTAAATTACTACAAAATAACTTAAATCGTTATTCGTGGTATTAATATATAATTTTGTCTAACTTAAAATGTCTGTAAAAAAGAACTGTGTTTATATATTTTTAAGATTTGTTGGTTACAGTATGAACTACTCGTATTTATGAGAATCCTTGTTATAAATTTTCAATTCTTAGCTATAAAAATTGAACATTTAATAATTGTTAACTACAAAATATATAAAAATTTGAACTTTACATACTCATAACAAAAATCTTTCCTTTAATATTTTTCAATTTCTAATATGATTACTTATGAAGAATCTTTTATTTTATTTTCATGCATTTCGATTCAACGAAAACATTTAATTGGCATTTATAGAAAAACAAAATATCAAATTTTAAATGTCAATTTATAACTCCAAGCGCGTCCAAATATTTTTAAAATTTTGTCATGTATAGGTAGCGATAAAATAGACATTATATGAACATTTCAAGTACCTACATACGGTTAACAGTTTTTGAATTTCAACAAAATGAGAATATCGTTCCATGAGGATTTGTTAATTTTCTGATGAATATTCAATGTCTAACTCCAAACGCACCTAAAAAATGTACTTGACTTTCCGGTAAACTTTGTTTCGTTGAAGGTTAGAAAACTTAATCTGTAATCTTGTATTAAATTTTCAAATCTTAGTTACACAAATATTTTTTATATGATATTCTAAATAGTAATTATTTTTCAAGTTTTCGTGAAATTTTGTCAACATTTTTACTAAAGGCTCTCAAAAATATTATTGTGAATTTACGCTCAACTTTTTTTTTTAATTTCCACCAACAACATCTTAATAATATGAAGAACTATAAATTCGATTTTCAGGATTTGTGCCACAGTGAGATTTTTTTAACTATAATAATTTTAAAAAAACTAATAAAAGTAGATATTTTCTTATGCCTATAAATAGTTCAAAAATACCTAGTCATAATATTTTTTAAATTGTTTGGTGTATGGAAAAGGTCAATAAACATTAGGAGAATTTTTTTTTAGTTACACCAAAAAACGAAATTGAATTTTCCAAAAATCAGTTTTTCTTATAAATTTCAGTTTTTCTATAATTTTTAGTTGTTTTTCTTGATGCTTTTGATAATTACTGGAAATTTTAACAACTCTAAGCTGCCAACTGCCGAGTATGTTCTTAAACTTTAATTGACACATTATTATTAGCATTATTATTATTGTATTTTAGGTACCCAGATGATAAAGATTTTACGTTCTATGAAGAGGAGCAATTACGACGCAGGACCAAAATGTCTGAAGCTGCATCCTACAGTACATAGTAATAATAAGCTCCAGTTACATATTATTATATTCTACTCAGGCGGTACTCTTTCTTGTGACTCGTCCCGTAATCCACTCAATATGGAAAGCTTCTCTGCATTTTCAATAAAATATCTTAAAAATGTAGTCTTATATAATATTATAGTAATACCTAGTTAATATAGTAATTATTATAGGAAATAGTAGTATATTAGTATACACACAATATAGTTGTAGTAGGTAGTAGCTATAATAATTATTGTAATTTCCACTTGGTAATAATAATGATTTAGGACTGTAGGAAGTTTTAGTAATATAATTAATAGTATGGTACTTATTTGGTGACGTGTATCTACGGATAGACATTTCTGTTGGCGAGTGAGGTGGTAAATAATACTTAGGTGTAGAGCAGGACGTGTCGGTGGGAAATTCGTATAGCTATGAATCTATGAATATTTTGGTAATCTAAAACGGATTTTAGAGTACCTAGGTACTGGTATAACTCAAATAAATACAATTAGTAATAATATAAATAATGTATGACACTGTACATAACTCGAGCGAAAATGCATAGTAACCCATTAAAAGTATATCACCATCAATAGTTTAAATTAAAAGAAAATGTATTATCAAAATAAAATATTTTTCCCACGCGATGCCTATAGACATATTGCAATATATTAATATATTATGCAACGCCAGTTTTACTATTGATTTTAATTTTAAAATTAACATTTTTTTAAATCTATAAAATATCCTTTTTTGGAATAAAATGTATTTGTAAGTTATTCGAAACTTAATTTTCTAAGTACCTGATTTTCGATTACGATAAAACAAAAGATTTTTTCTGATAACTAAAGCAATAGGTATACTGTAGTTAATATTTTAATAATATTTTCACTACACCTTTTGTACAAATTAAAAGCAAATTCTTAATTTCTGGCGTGGCATATTATTGTGGCTTATTTGGCCATTAATTATAATATTAATTAACCTCTACCTCGAGATGTAATAGTAGTTAGTACGTCACCGAAATGTACCTCTAGCTGTAGAATAGTTTGCTAAATAAAACATAGTACTAGTTATAATATTATATAGTTTAGAGATAAGGTAGTTATATATAATATTATACAGTGTCTCGCTTTGCATTTGTCCTCGTTCTTACCCTTTATCCACTAATGATAAAAGTGCTTAGGAGCGTCATACACCTGCCTAGACATACGCACAGAATTATTCGAACACCCGATGAAAATCTATTATAAGTATTAAGTGTTCAAAATATATAAATGATAAAGTAACACATTTTAAAAATCGAGATAACTTATGATGGTTGGGTTATTACGAGTTAGCTTTTAAAAAAATATATTAAAACAGAGTTGGGAAATTGATGTGATAAAATATACGCATTAATAGATACGAATTCCAATAATATAACACAATGTTGCTCGATAAAATATGGAATAACGTCAAAACCTATAAAAAATTACAAAAAATTATAAAAAGTTTAATTTATGTAGCTGTACTAAATTTAAAATTCACAATCACTTAAATATTTGTTCAAACGAAAATTCCTCAAATATTGAAATGAAATATTTATAGGTATCGATAAACCATATACTGCTTACCTTTTATAATAAACTGATAAATTACCATTTCAAAACATTAAGGTACTCAAAAATACTGGAAATACCGTCGTTTAGATAGGTCGTGGTACGTAATTTCCTAATTGGTTGATAAAAGTGGATGTAAATTATTGCAATTTATCACTAATTTCTAGGTGGTTATCCATAATATTTAATAATGATAAATGTACGACTACCGCTTGCCCCCATATATACATATATGCACATAATACATGAACATAAATTATATTATTATTCATTGTACAATAAATAGGTAGAATGAAAATATTAATTTTATCTTCATTATTCATAATTATTACGATTCAAATAAAAATTTTTTAAATACACAATATTAAAAAGGTATACAAATGTTAGGAAATAGGCGATCGTATCAATTAAATATATCATAAAATATATTTAAATCAAACTAAATGCCTATCTAAAGACATTTAAAATAATATGTGAGTTCACACTTCCAAGTCCTAAAAATGATTACAAAGATTTTTATACAATACCTACATATTATATAATCCTCAAATAGGGCGGAAAATTTCAAAACCATAATACCAAAAAAATATTAATTAATAGAAAAAGGGCAAACATAGTGAGACACAACGTATAATATTATTATAATATAGAAAATATTTTGTGAATTAACACATTCGTAGACAGCGCGTACGATAATGCCTTTAAAAATGTTGCTTTCACTTCAGAAATACACTCCAACGAATTCATCAATTATACATTACACAGATAATAATTATTCAAAATAATGAATATTGAAAAAAAAACCAAAGTTGCCTTATATTAATATCAATATATCATATAATATTATAATATCCTATGTTTGAGTGTACTTATATTATATTTCATGTACATCATGGTGTCAGTATTCGATCCATCTAGGCTAGGTACTCATGAATATTCTCTTTGATTATTTTCTGCATGGTTTCAAGCATGTTAAAGTAACTATGGTAATTATTGCAATAACATAGATACAACCTTGGTTCACACATATTATCAAAGTACAATGCAAAATTCTAGTAACGCACTGAAAAGGGCAAAAAATCGTAGTCTGCGATTGCACATACAAGTTTTAACACATTTCAACTGATATAAATAAGTTATACCTATATGCAATAATTTCGGTTATAATATAACTTATAGAAAACCACAACATCGATCAATTTTCTTTATTTGTAAATTTCAAAGAATGTGTGAACAAAATGTGAACCATTTTGACAATATTTCCAACAAACAATTTTTTAATAAAAAAATTTTAGACATGACTTGAAATTTTTAAAAATAAAAATAAACATTTAACATAATATCTGTATTATACTGCTATTTTCATTCAATCTTTTTTTTTTAACTTTCAAACTTCATTATTATGTACCTATCATATTTCAGTAATATCTACCAGCAACTATTTATAATTTTATTTTATCAACTTATTATTTCTAACATACGGGCGATCATAATTATTTAGATAGGTAGACTATTATTGAATGTAAGTACTCATATATTAAAAAAAAAATTTTGAGAAAAAAGCCAAAAAAATACGTTTGGTTTAATTTGTTATTATTAAAAAATAATAAAAAATATAATACTTAGACGTGTCCGAAATAATTATACCAAAGTTCAAACTTCAGCCATGATAAGTTAAAATAACAGTACTAACTATTGACTACTGATGTGTAATATATAGTTTGTACACTTGCTCATAGTCGAAATATTTTAAATTTTTCAGTTCTTATGCGTTATGCGAATGTGTTAAACTGTGTCTAAATGGACAGTAAAAAATTGACATTTTTTATTTAAGTAAATTATTATTAATTAATTATTGAATAATGGACTAATTTGGCAACGGCGTGCACAATGATTTTTGGTATATTCATAATGTAATTTCTTTCAATTAATATTAAATGTTAGTTAATGAAATCAATCATGTTTGTTGCTCATTATTTTTTTTTACATTTTACCTGACACCTATCATCATAGAACATTATTACGTAAATAAAATAACATCTTCGTGATTATATTGTACAGGCGGACAAAGAACCTATGTGACTATAATATAAATTATCATTTGACGAATCTAGGCGTAAGAGGGACACCAAATGGTCCTTTTTAAGGAGTTTGATATAGGCAACACAAAGTGACGACACACACTAGGAGTATAATTGTGATGTATGTATAATACACATAATATACATTGTATATCGAAATCAATATTATAATATTATAATATTAAAATTATTCAAAAATACATAGGAATATTACCTCCAATAATACTACCAAGGCTAATTTTTGTACTTGTCATTTTTTATATTATAAACAATTAACAAACGCATGTTATATAATATTTATTTCACCTGACGTAAAAATGTTTGAATGTAAAAAAACATTATACACCTTTACCTAAAGATATATTTGTTAAATACTATCAAATATAAAAAAAGAAAACACTCACAAATTTATTGTAATTCGTTATTAATTTAAATAATCAGTCTTAAATAATTAATAGTTATACACTATAGTTTCTTATTGCCCATAAAAAATGTACTAAAACACAAAAGTAGGACTTACAGCATTGCTATATAAATATATCATCTACATGACTACATTAAATTTGATTACACAGTATTTTATTTAGCATATTTTATCAATATTAAATTTAAATATTTTAAAAATAGTTGAGTTGAGAGTTCTACAGAATAACTTTTGACTTTTTTTAGATAATTAGATTCTCTCATGCCTGGAAATAATCATCTTTAAAAATCATCTCACGCGGGCAATAAACGCTTGGATAATATTTTTTATAAAAAAAAAAATTTTCACTATAAAATATTAAAGAGGAAGAACTTTGACTGTGCAACGCTGCTTTTTGAATATCACTAATATGAAAAATGTTATTGTGATCTTAAAGTCCATTATTGTTATGTTATTTAAATTATAGTACATTGTTGTTGTCATTCAAATTATGGTACATTTTGTCATTAGGGTGATACCAAAAATAATAAAAACAACATCTACTCATAGGACTTTAGTTATAGTAAAAATTTAGTTTATTATTTAATGAAATTACTTATTGGTAACGAGTTGTCAATCTAACAATCCAATGTATTAGATACTTGAGTATGATATATTATTCTAACAAAAAAAACCAAAGTATGGTCATAAAGGCCACAGAGCGACTAAAGACGAAATACACACTAGCGCAACTAACGTTGAATGAAATAGGCATCTGTTGTTGCTGTTATTCTAATTTAATATATAGACTAAAATTAGAACTTAGTTTCAAATAAATCTAAATTTTTTAGATAAGGCTTTTCCTAATGAATTTCAAAATATTAGAATACCTTGTGTTGAGATGGAGAAACAGAAAAATGGCCTGTTTTTAAAGTTCAATATTTAGGCAATGCTTTTCTCGATGACCATTCTATAGTTATACAATCATTGTTATTGTTACATTACATAGCAATTTACAGTAGGTATATAAATATGTCTTAAATTGCTAAATAAACCTTAAAACTTAAGTAGTAAAATCTATCTATTCAACTGCAAATATGTAAAGTA